AACTTCTATAGTTGCCACTATTTCCTTGGCATTTCCAAACAACTTGTTGATACGAACAATGATTGTGCGTGATTTCTGATACTGACTAGAATCAACAGGTTCTAAAGTAGTCCATTGCGTATCTGACACCTCGAGATTGTTTTCATTGAGTTCTTTCTTTTCTTTTGTAGAAGTCTCTCTTCCTTTGGACAAAACATCTATTCTATCCATCATCTTGGACATTTGCTCTTTTATCTCTCTTATCTCATTGTGCTCTTTGTGCGCCATATGATCTTTATGCACACAATCCTCCACTATTCTTGAAGCTTTCATAGGATACCACTTCTTGACTATGTTATAGCCTGTTTGATCACGAAACCCTTTGTCCATCATGAAAACCTTTTACTATGATGACCACTCACAAATCAACACCTTTTGAATATGTCATGATCATGCAATGCGAACAAAGAGAAAAAAAAACAATAGAAACAAGTTAGTACAAATGAGATAACAAAATGACAAAAAGCAACAATAACAAAATAAATAAATTAATGCTAATAAGAATGCAAATGCAAATGCACATGCACAAGGTGTTAATCCTAAAAGTGACCACTATAGAACAACCTTCATTTAGACAACAAGAATTCAGTACACCATGTAGTCAAAATATAAATGTGATTCTTCATTTCTTCATTTCCTTGAGCCGTACTCTTCATGGAATCTAATATTGCACCCAAAGTTATCGGCGTACTTTATCACCTTTGATGACGTCAGATGTCTTTAAATTGAATCTTGAGGTCTCCATTTTTACTTTCAATACGAAGTGATCTTCATGTCTTTGTGAAGGGTATTCTCGTCCTTGGTATAATTGTATCTATCTCTTGAATCAACATCTTGGCCTTTGCCCCATTAAAGGAAGTCTTCAATCAGTTTGATTTCTTCATTCAGCAGATATCATTCTTCATGATCAGTCGAACATCTTTGTATCTCCCGGTTTTGACTACATGGTTGAGAATTTTTTGTCTCAATATGTCTAACCTTCTCATTAGTCAATCACTTGCAAATTAACACCTTGTGATGACATGAAGATGTAAATGCAATAAAATCAAAATAAAATAGACATATACAAAAAATGGGTTAGTGCATAATATAAACAACAAAATAATAATAATAAATATCAAATAAAACCTACCCTCATATATTGGCTACCCAATCATACTTTAGTTGATCTTACCCAACATGATATCTACCCCATACTTTGTCATTCACAAAAAATCCTAACCGCATGATATCTAATTCGCATGTTTGTTCGAGAAAAATAAACCTAACCGCATGATTTCTAGTTCGTATTCATTTATTAAAAAAGCAAAATTAAATGACTCAAAAAGCTTTTCCTTGTGTACCCTCCTCACGGGACTCTTAAGGTTCGGGTTAGACTCGACCTAAATTCGGGCTCTATGTTCACTATATGCTGGGTTCGGTTCTAAAGTAATAGGTTCTCGAATTGTCCTTGTCGGTGCCCCCTTGTGGGCTGCCGAACCCTCAATCCTGGCCCATCGCAGGCTTTAGGGGATTGAGTTCAATTTCGAGGGAACACACATCCTTATGTCCATGCGGAGGTGAATACCATCACGAGGACCATAAGGCGTGAGCTCCAAGAGCGATCCACTATCCCATGCGGAGGTGAAAACCACACGAGGGCATAGTCTCTCACTCCTACTTAAATAGGACGGAGCGGGGTTTTAGCTCATGTTATGACAATGCAGTTGTGCAGTGTGTGAGGAAAAGCGAAACACAATAAAAACACTCAAAATTTCTAAATTCACACAATTAATCTGAAATCATTAGCAAACAAATTAGTACAACTATTTAATTGTTAATCCAAAAAAATCAAAATACAAACAAAACTTATTAAAAACCAAACAAGGGATCAAAAATCAAATTAAAACGAATTTGTAATTTTCAATTGCAAAGACAATTAATTAATCGACTATCGGCTTGACTCTCTAAAAAAAAAGTCCCCAGCGGAGTCGCCAAGCTGTCGAAACGATTTTTCTTAAAGGTGAAAAGGTGAGATTTTAAAAACCACATTAATTTTTAATTTACCTCTTTCAACTGATTTTTAATTTAAAAACAAATGCGATTTAAAAACCTCTCGTTTCGAAAAATTTTGGATTTCCTTTACGATAGAAAAAAAATACAGTTCAAAGAGTCGCCACCAATCTTTGATTAGGGTGTGATTGGGCACCCAAAATTGTTTGTTATTTTAAATAAAAATTAATTTTTATTAAAACAACAAATTAAGGTCTGCGTTACCAAAATCCGAGTTCGGGAGTCAGTTACGTGCAGGGAAGGATTAGCACCCCCCACAACGCCCTAAAACGGTACCTAGTCGATTAATTAACGTATTTGCAATGAACTTTACAAATTCGAATTTAATTTGATTTATGATCCCCGACAAAACAATAATATACATATTTACATCATTTGTAAACACCAAAACAAATTAGATTAAAATTACCCAACCATTAGAAAGATAAAGAATATTCGATTATTTAAATATATCGAGACCAGATCTTAAATCAGTTATAACTACCTTTTCTCGATAAATTTAAATAGCCGAATATTTCTTTTCTTTCCATTCCCAAATTTTAAAGTGACGAATCAATTTTTTTTGTTTCACTTTTGGGATACACTTTTAATTTAAAATCGTTAAAACGACCCTCTAATCAGTTAAGACAGGTCATTCAAGACAATTTAAATTAAAAGGGTATTACCCTTAATTCAATTATGTCGTATGGTCGAGATATGCACATGAGGCTAACATGCAAATTATGCAAAAGGATGTCACGCAAAGATTAATATAAAAATAAATCCATATGTATAGCATCAAACCAAGGATAAGTATACATCCTAAACGGATTCTAACTAATCACATATGCATACACATAAGAAACTTAAACATGAACTAAAACGTAACATGTAAAAACTTGGAGCCCTAATGTCTAGATCACAAAAAAACGAAATAACCAACATTTATGACCAAAATTAAATGCGCATGAAATGCGAAGATCAAATTAAAAACATAACAGATTAGATTTAAAGACGAAAATGCCAATTAACCAAAATTATGTGCCAAATGCGTAAACAATAATAAAAAAACATAAACAGGTGACCAAGAAAGAAACACTTACAAACCTGAAGAAAAAATTATAAATTTGGAAAATGTGATTTAGTGACTCAAACGTGACATGCAAAACAATGAAAGTCAAAAGTCAAAAATAGCAAAATTTAAAAAAACATAAGACTGGGGACCGAAATGAAATGCACGAAAGCTATAGGAACAGAATTAAAAACATAAAAACTACGACATAGGGACAAAAACGAAACATAAAGAAAATTAACAGTTCAATGTCTGAAACGGCAAAGATTAAATACAACAACACTTAAGACTAAAATTAAATGCGGGTAAAATAAAGAGACAAAATTGGAAACAGGAAAACATTCAGTTTGGGGACCAAAATAAAAATAAAAATAAACACAAAAACTAGAGGGATTAAACGACATTTTCACCCTAAGGATTCGGTGGCTAAAAGTTAATTTACCCAAAACAAATTAATATATAACCTAAACTACAAAACCTAAACTAAATCTAATCCTAAGTAAATCATGCGCAGGAACACTCTGCCGCTCAAGCTCCATTTTTCAATCTTCTTCGCATACTGCCCATACTCCTCTCTTCTGGCCTTCAATGCCATATTCGGCTACCATCCCTTTGGTGGCCACTTCTCTTCTAAACGTAGCTCACCATCACACTCTCGTCCTAAAACTCTACACAATCGAGCCTAATAAAGCCGACCACTGTTCAAGATGGTTCCCTCCTCTCCATTCAACACAGGCCACAACCGAGGGAAAATAACCACTGCGGCCCCTATCGCTCGTCTAACAAGTTTCCACTCCCGACGAAGGCTTGGGATCACTCCTCTCCGGCGAAATTGAAGCGAAACAAGGTATAAAACTAACTAGTAATTTCTGTTTTTACTTTACAATTTGCATTTAGTTTAATTTTTTTTTAAAAAGATGAATGGAAATACTAATGTAATCGTAGGAAAGAAAAGAAAAACCTTGTAGGAATTGAATTCCACTTTGTATTGCTTTGATTCGTTGAAACGAGCGAACTCTTCCGTTCCTTTGATTTTCAAATTGAAGGAAAAAAATACAGTATAATGTTTTTGTTTTGCTATCTATCTTCTGTAAAAAGAAACAATGGAGGTTCTTTTTGTTTTTTTGCTCTCGGTTAATTGCTCCCCCTCACTGTGTGATTTCTGCCGGATGATCCTCTTCTCTCTAATTCCCCTGTTCTGTCCCAAAAACCGCCCCTCACTGATCGTGTCATCTCTTTTCTTCTCAAACTGATCTCCCCCTTTCCTTTAGTTTAATCCCATTAAAACTGATGATGGGTGGTTATCTCCTAAAAACAAAAACTGCTAAAAACCGACCCTCAAACTGCTCTCTTCTTGTGCATATATCTGTCATCCATTGGGCTTGAATGGGGCCTGTAATTAGTTTGCTTCGGGCCTGCTCCGACCTAGACTCGGATAAAAACGAGCATCTACACCTATTTTATCACTAGTTTTCTGCTGACTGATATTTTAGTTCTCATTGTTTCCACTTTCCATTACATAATTCCAGAGAGTCTTGAGATGGAATTTGAGCTATTAATCCTCTTTATCTCAAAAGAATTTTGAGCATTTTCTATTTATTCATTTTTGCTCCAGAAAATGGAATTACTGCATTTCAAGTATGTTCTCTATTTGGGTAGAGATCATAGTATTGTGACATCTTGATGTATTTTGTATCTGGTACTGGCAACTTGCTATTGCTTGGATCTGCTCATTATTATTCATTTTTATTTTGGAGTAAAGGGATTATCTGCAGAAAGAAAAAGTCTTTTGAGTATTGAAATGTTTTTCTAATTATTTTTGTTCTATTTTGTATATAATTTTCTATGTTGGATGCAGCTATCAGCACACAAAATGTCACAAACGTAAGCTCATTGCTCTATAATTGATATATTTTTTTTAATTCTATGTCCATGTTCAGTACTTAATTTGTAGCAGCAATGTTTTCAATCACAGCATGCTACTTTAGTTCCTTGAGATATACTGGACTGCAAATATAGTTGTCTTTCAAATGACTTTCCTGATAATGATATCTCAAAAGTGTATATCATTTTCTACATTGTATGTGCTATTTTGTGATTAGTGCCATCATCCTTTGGCCTATACCTACAATAAATTGTATTCTATATGTTCAACTGAGTTGTACTCTATCAGGTTGTTAACTGAGGATCAATGCAGTTGAGATGTGCTTTCAGCTCTTAGGCGACTTTTCTGTTTCTTTTTGTCCCCCCAACCTATGAAAGAAACTGGAAATACATCAAAAGCACACATAATAAGAGTTACCTTACTGGGTTATAGCTTTAAAACTAATGTGTCATTTTTTTAACTTTTCCCTTTTGGGTCTTTAAGTTTCATGTTCCTCTAACACGTTAAAGGTGTGATGTAATTAAATTCTTTCCATCATCTGATGAACCAGAAAATTTGTTTATTTTTCCCTTTTTTAAGAAACCAAGAACCAGTGGGCACGTGACGACCCTGCTTTTGTTGTAATCTGCAGCTTTCTTTTGGCAGTTGCAACAATAGCTTATTGTGCTGCGTAAGTTTCTTTTTTCCTTTCTAAACATTGCTCCATATAAAAAAAAACGACTTACTAGGCATTGAAACTTTAAAACTGGTACTTGCTTTTGGATTTATAGGGAATTAGTCTTAGATTCAAATTTTATTGATCTCACATTGTTATGCTTGTGGCATTTATAATTTGTATGGTATATTTGTTGTAAGGTTTCTTACGTTGAATTTATAGAAGTCTTTGATATTTTTTAGTCTTAAGCAACATGGTTTGGGCTGCATCATGAGGGTGCTAAGTTCTTCCAAGTAGAGTAATATCTTGACCCCAATAATGCACAACATATTTGGATTCTATAAGAATGCTAGTGGCATTATTTATTTTTAGTTTTGCCTTTTCTTCTGAGCTGCTGGATATTTTGTTGACCTTGTCATATTTTGTTGTCTTCTCTCTAATACAGGTATGATTACAGTGCTGCACATGCTGTTTTTCTAGTCATTTCAGTATTGTTTTTCCATTTTTTACTAACTTGAGTAATTCTGGCTACATGTTGCTGGTAAGAGACGGTATCTATTTCTTTTCAAGCTGGAGTTAGTCTCTCTTAAAATCATATCTTAATTGTTATCTCCAAATTGGGCCTGGTGAACATGTACATTCCATCTGTGGTCGACTTGTAGTTCGTGTTCAGTTGATAATATCTATTTATTATCTCCTAAAATTATCTTAACTGTTAGCTCAAATTTGACATGTAGTATATATGCTGATAATATAAGTTAAGCTAGTGGCTCTCATTCTTTCTGAAGGCTCAGTTTCTTTTGGAAATAGGCATATCTACGTTCTTTGCGCTATGAATGTTGATTCTTTCAGTTAGGTTTGAGGCTGCAGCAGAATGCTATAAATGTTTGAGTGTTTTTGTAACAGGAATGTTATTATGATTGTGGAATAGGCTTTAGGGTTTGTTGTCTGACATTACTCTTACCAAAGGAGGGAGATCAGGCTTGCTATTACATTTTACTTGGAATTACTGACTGCTTGAGATATCCCAAAGAATTGTTAGCCAAAAAATCTTCATTGATTTAACTTTATATGGAGACTATATAGCTTTTATGTTTTAGGCTCGTTGGTTATCCTTGTTCCAATGAGAAAAACTTTTTAATAACTCCAACAAGACAGTAAGACTATATATAGCTTCGTCCGCAAATGTAAAAATAGTAGAACTTTAAGCACTTGTTATAACTAAGCGGATAAAAGGTGCCCTGACATTACCATCTTCAAGCAAATAAAAATTTATGCTTTAGTAGTGAAACATCCTGAACTGGTTGAAAGAACTGGTGTACTTTGCTGAGTTGTTTCCATATCTTTATTATTAACTTGAATGAGATAAAACCTAAAGTTATATTTATTACTAATTTCATTCTAGCATGGTTGGCACAGGTGCACTTGTTTGATGGTGAATTGCATTCTCTGACTCCATGCAGGTTCTTGACAAATGCTTACCTTCGGGAAGAGGCTCCAAATAGTCATGTGGTGGAACAACGGGTTGAATGGCAAGTCTGGAGACTTCTTCCTATATTCCAGAAATTTAATCTCCTGTGTGAGCTGTTTATACTGATTTAATTATTAATTGACAGATCTGGTCATCAATGCTTTATGTTTTCCGCAAGCAGCAGAGTGGCTTGTGAATATTAGCATCTAAAATAATTGTGTGGTGCTGACTGTAGCTTTCCTTTGTTTGAAGGCTGTATGCATTTGATGTACACTGAAAATTTTCTTTCCAATGTTTGTCACTTTCCTTTGTAATCTCAAATTCAAATGGGACTAACATTGTTGTTTTGGCAGTAATTCATTATTTTGTGTCACCGCTTCTGGTAGCCCATGGTTTTATCCCTGAACTTTTGTCGAATCTGCTTTTCATGGTGGCAGCTTCTTACTATCACTACCTCAACTTTTTAGGTTATGATGGTAAGCTTATTTGCATGCCCTTTTTCTTTTACCCGTCTTGTAACTAGCCTATAATTTTCCTTTTCTGACAATGAAGCTTGTCGAAGAAGTGGCTAATTATTATCACCTTTGGGACCTGGCATATCTATTGTACTACAGTACTTCCCTTTCTGGAGAGAATAACCTTTTTCCTCTACCCAATTGGAGTCATAATTGTTTTATTGCCAATCTATAAATGTGTGACTTTATTATATCTAATTCTGCTTTGGCATGGAGATCATAGCTAAGCTGAAAACACAATCCTGTTGTGCAGTGATTTTAAGCGGTTTCAATCCTTCGAGATATTTCATGAATTTATACTTTAGCCAAAGGGAATGATGTGCGGAATGTGAGATCAGTGACCGGGTTGGAGATGACATCGATGTTAGGGGGCTTTTGATGTGTAAAAGGTAGAAATGCAGCAAATTTTTACAAAAGAAGATAAAAAAGGTAACATCCATCCGAAGAAGCCTTTTGTAGTCTTTCTTCATGGTTTTTCCTTACCATCAGGTGAAATTAGATTAGAAAAATGATTTTTCAGTGTTGAAGATGATTGGTCAAAGGGAGCTATTTGAAATGTATTGATTTTACCCTTTGTTTCTTATTAATATATATATATATATATATATATATTTATTGTGTTCTATCTGAAAAATCATAGTTTATGGGATCTTTATCTTTTCTATAATACTTGTGTGATGTATTTAGATGATAATTCCACCATTTGACACACTGAGCCTAGGGCTAGGGCTGTAAATGAGACGAGACATATCGTGAGCTACTCAAACTTGACTGAGTTCAAGTTTGACTCAAGTTTTTAACGAGTCGAAACGAACTATTTGATATTCGACTCAAAAAGCTTGCGAGTAACTCGAAAATAATAATATATTAATTTTTTTAAAATTTAAATTAATAATAATATTGATATTTGTGTTGATTTTTAAAAAAAATACAATACAAGTCTTTCATATATTTTATGTTCAGGTTTGAGTTCGAGTTTGAACTTCAACTGAGTTAAGTTTAAGATTTTTTTTTATTTCATGCTTTTTCGAGCTTCAATTCATGGTTTTGAGTTCGATTCGAACTTGAAAATTTTAGTCTCGCGAGCTTTCGAGCCAAATCGAGTTTCATTTTAATTTTTTTGAATCGAGTTGAGTTCAGTAATACTCGAGCTTGACTCATCCCGTTTACAACCCTAACTTAGCCAATTATTTATGAGTGTGTAAAACGATATATTGCTTGCGTGCTTGTGGATGAGTTTGATGTTTCGGTTGGTTTTTGCCTAATTCAGGCAAAGTTTTCCACTTCTTGGTGATGCGCTGTGATTGCGTAAAATCTCATGCACCCCAGGACGGAGCCAACTTTTGTTTAAGGGGTGAAACCCGAATTTTTTTTATGTAAAAATACTAAAAAGTAAAATTTACATTAGTTTTAAAAAGAGTATTGATACTGACTAACATGAGTTGGTTTAAGTGGTAAGTAACTTTATATTATTTAAACAAGATCTTGAGTTTGAGTCATTGTATATGTAGAAAAATCATTGTTGGGAGACTCATCAATCAAAGCCAAGTGTGCGATGTGGGTCGACTCGAATTAGTCAAGATGAAATCTTGGAACATGGAAGATAAAAAAAAGAGTGTTAATACTATTTTAAAAATAATTGATACCCCTGTTATGAAATTAATAATTATAATTTACTCCTGTATAATTAAAAAAAAAAGAAGCAAAATTAAATTCTAAAATTGTAATTTAAATTTCTTGACCCGTCTCAATCCACCATATCATTAACGAACAAAAATATTTTAAGGATTTACAAATAAATCTAGAAGTTTTTTTAAAGAAAATAAGGCAAAAATGCTTCTACTAAGCTTGGCCTGCCATCTCCACTTTTCAGTGCAACACCTACGCTCTTTTTGTTATGGTTCATAGAATCACTGTTGCTATGAATAAAATACATCGTTTCTAATTATATTATTTATCCTATTTTATTAATTATACTTTTAATTTTTTTAATTTATTCAATGAACTTTCAAATTGTTTATGTTTAAATCATCCTAAATTATTTTATTATTATTTTTGTATGACGTGACATTTTTATTTTTTAATTTAAAATAATTGAAAATATAAAAAAACAGAAGGTGGCAAGAGGTTATCGCCGGCTATTGTCGAGTGCCGTAGATGGTGGTCGTTCGGTCCTAAATTTCATGGGGCTTGTTCGTTTCGACCCTTTTGAGTCCGAATAAGATGGTTGTTTCACCAGAAAATGTCTTAAAACCCATGAATCTCGACTGAAACGTTTCGGCTTCCTCACTTTCGATCTCCAATTTGTATACTTTAGAGCAAGTTCCGGCAAAATAGAGGGTGGATTCGGACTCAAGGTGTCGAGATGAACAAGATCCATGAAATTTGGGACCGAACGACCACCATCTACGGCGGTCGACGGTGGTGTTCGACCACCTTCTGTTTTTATTTTATATTTTTAATTAAATAATAATAAAAATTGTCACATCATATAAAAAATAATAAAATAATTCAGAGTGATCAAAACATGAGCAATTCGAAAGTTCAATGAATAAATTAAAAAAACTAAAAATACAATGAGTAAAATAAGAGAGAGCATAGTTCAGCGAGGAATGGTGTGATTTACCCCTGTTGCTATAGTGAATAAAATTTGACTTAATTTGAAAAAAATTTAAATTTGAATTGAATTATAAAATAGAACTTAAATAACTCGAAAAAAATAAATTTTTTAGTAATTAACATATTAGTTTTCAAGTTCAAGTAGAGTCTCTCAACTTGCATGATATATATATATATATATCATAGAAAAAATATGCAAAAAATTATATATGGTTGTAGAAAATCGTTTAAATTAGAATAAAATAATATTATAAAATGATAAATATTTACAATTAAATTTAAATAGAAACCATAACAATTTGACTTGACTCAACTCGAATTTCATAAACTCTACTCGAAAAAATTGAAATAAAGTTTGAGTTATTAAATAGAACTCGTCAACTCAAAATTTTTTATTCGATTCGGCTTGACTCGATCGGATACCCACCGGCTGTTGCTGCTCTTCAATTCTCCCTATTCCAACCCATCATGTTATATCGAATACGGCTACAACGCCTTCTTGTCTAACTAATGTAAAGCCTGCAATTGTTCGTTGATCCATCTTCTTTTATCTTTATATTTTTTCTCGATTCAATATAACGAGATTTTATGCATTCACATGTCCATCACTCGAATGTTCATTTTACTTGATTCAAGTCTGATACAATGTCCTCTTTATGGATTCTAACTCTCAGTTAGATATTTTAATATATGTATCCAATAAACTCTTTTTAATAATCTAACAAATCAAACACACAATGTTGACTTACCAAATCAGCGACGAACGAATGACATTAGAATCTCATTTGACGAGTATACTTTTCAATCATA